TGTAAAGCAGCCCAATAAACTCCACTTGCAGGCGATGGGCGAGGGGCGGAGCTGCTAAGAGAAACCCAGAGACCTAAACATGTCACCACGAGGATGCTCACAAAGTGCTCACAAAGCACCTCCGCATCCATTAGTTTAATTTCTCATCCATAAGGAAAGAATTGTTGGACTGCTGGCTCCCTAGGCCACCCATCCACCCATCTATCCATCCATCTATCCATCCATCCATCCATCCATCCATCCATCCCTCCATCCATCCATTCACTCACCCACCCACCCACATTATTTGGTACCTACTGTAATGCCAGGCCTGTGCCAGCCTCTGAGGAGCCTGGAGAGGAATCGTATAAGTGCCTATCTTTAAGGAGCATCCCTTCTGCCTCAAGTGATGACTACCATGCAGAGGGTGCAGTGAGGGGCATGCCAGCTGCTATTGGAGAGCATGGGATGGGCCTCCCAGACCATTTGGCTGGAACCCAGGATACCTTGGACCCTAGTGCTCTCCTAGACTCTGGTTCCAACATCCTTTAGAGCTGAACCAAGAATACAGAGAAGGCTGATCCATTTTGATCCTGGTCTGTAAGACACATACTTTGTAGTAATAATAACTATACTTTCTGAAGCATCTACTATGTAGCATCTTGTCCAAGAACAACCAGCAAAAGAGACAGCTAGAAATGAAATTCTGAGGCCTGGGCTCTCCACCATATCACACTGCTGCCTTATTCAGCCAATTCTCCTCAAGTCCCCTTTAGTCCTGATTACAGTGGACATGTGGTTGGTGTATTATTTAGCAAAGGAAAACATGTACAAATCAGGAACCTCCCATTAGTTACACACATAAAATAAGCAACTTGTCCTGGTTTGCCCAGGATTTTCCTGGGCTTAGCACTGAAAGCTCCCTGCTCTGGGAAACAGCTTAGTTCCCGACAAACCGGGATGGCTGGCCACATTCAAACTTAAAACTCAAGCGAGAAGCGAGAGAGGACAATAACTTGAGACTGTATCACACTGGGTGATAAACACAAATGACACCATGCCACCTCTTCCTCATGGAGCAGCCCAGATTTCTGCACGCTGGGGGTCAAGTCACTGAACAAGCTCTCTCATCTCTTTCCAGGTTTGCTTTCCTCTGCAAGAAGTGAGAGGTCACAGAAACAGCCACGCAGATCAATGCTGCATCTTCAGAGAGCTCTGCAGACAACACTGTTTTCCTTCATGATGCTTTTGTACGGGGCAAATGAATTGCTTCAGCTGTCGAGGCTGAGCTTATGAATGTACTAACAGCAAAGGGTCTCAAGATTCAGTAATGCAACCAGGATGCCTTTCAAAATCACTTTTTTGAACCCACCCGCGAGCACATCTTTCTGAATTCTGACTCCAGGCATAATTAAGAGTTAATTTTTACATGATATATCTGCAACCCCACCGCTTTTTGAGTTATACTATTTTCTTTTGAAACAAACAAAAAAAATTGCCAAATAATAGTATAAAAAGAATTGTGGGGGAGATTTCAAATAAATAGTAAAAAAGAGTATTTCTCAATACTTTTTAAATATCCATTTACATTTAAGAAGTAATACAAATCACTTTTTTTGTTTAAAATCTTTCCCTCACAGATTGTAAAGTCCGCAGTGCACTAGAATAGTCCTAGTTAACGTGTACTTGAAACAAAACAGTTGAATTTCTTTAAAAAATATTCTTTATTTCACACAAAAACTAATCTAAGTTAGCCTTCCTCAATAAATCCTGTAGGTTAGTAGGATGTTATGACTCTTTATTCCCACGTGAACTAATATTTTAAAATCTCTTTGAATTAAAACTCAAGTAAAAGGAGCAAAAAGGAATTCAGGCCATTGGAACAGCTGTTATATAACATGAAGTTACAAATCCGGTGGCCCAAGGCAGACCACCGCTATGGCTGTTTTTAGAGAGCCAGTGAGATGTGCTGATTTAAAGACAAGTGAAACAGATGTAATGATCACTTTCTTAGGCACCCGCATGTGGGTTTTACAAACTAGGACTGAGGAATTTAAAACTCCAAATCGTCTGAAATGGAAATGCTTTTTCCACACTCCGTGCTGAAGAACATCAACCAAAGCTTACTTAGCACCGAGATAGATCTGTTTACAGATGTCGATTGGTAGTTTTTGTCATGTCAGTCTGGGACTGGCAAGGTGAAGATGCTATCGGCAAGCCTGCCAGGAAACAGAAATAAATGAGATGAAAGGGCTTCAGAAGAACCGAAACCAAGTGATAAAGATTTCATGAAAGAAGGAACACGTGCCTATAGGCAACCCAGTTCTAAGGAAAGAAATCTAACAGAGGTTTTAGGTATTGAGAGGTCCTCATGAAATGTTGGTATCAGTAACTCAGTTTCTAATACTATTCCAAGGAATCAATGTAACTCAGATATATCTAAAGTGAAAGGCTCAATAGCAATTATAAGTTTGACATCATGGGGCTATGTTTTCAAGCACCAATTCATTTTAGTGATTTATTATACCTGCAATTAGAATAAAATGAGGCAGTGTGGTATACAGTAGGTACCAGAAAAGTTGGGTTAGAATCAGGAGACCTTGATTCTACCTCGACTTCAACAGGTATGTGACTCTGCAATTCTTTTCACTCCCACCCCTCAGTCCCTTCTCTGCAGTAAACATGCTACCCGTTCTGTCTACCTTATGGGTGTGGGAGTGAGGATGAGGTCAAAATAGGGATATGAAAGAACACTAAGACATTCAAGCTTTTTCTAACTAAAAAGCGTTCCCCAAATTATAAGAAAGGTAATAATGACAGAGACGAGCACAAGGCATTATGGAGCATGGCTGGGGTTAGGGCGGGGGGTGACTTGCCGGCCTGACTATCTTAACATAGTATTTCAGAGACTGTCCTAAAATCTGGATTTTTCATTTTTTAATATAAAAATCTGCAGCTTGACAGGTTTTAAAAAAACTTGCAAAGAATGATCCCTTTTCTAGATGATGACAAATGTCTTTAATAAAAGGAATCATCTCCCTAGACATACAAAGTGTCTATTTTCTTAGAGCTGAACTCGCTTTATTAGGAATGAATAAAATGTACCCGAATGGATGAACAGATTAAGAATGCAGAGTTACATGGCAACAAATGATGCAGCAAGTTTTGATATCGTATGTTCAGTGCTCAAAACGAAAAACTCCCAGGGGTAAAACACTGTTTACATAATCTTTATAAATATCTCTTCTTTTTATACTTATCATGCTTTGGTGTCATTATGTACAGCCGAGTGAAAAGATGAACTCCCACTCACCTCTGAAATGCAAGAAGCGCCTTTCTCTGCAGGACCTCCTGCATCCCACGCAAAGAAGCTGAGGAAAAGGGTTCAATTAGTCAGTGGCATGGGAGATCAGGGAATTTTTGACAAATACAAAAGTCATCACAAAACCTATATGTTCAGTTGGATTGAAAACAACAAATTCCAGGTGCCTACGGGCCCAGTCCTGTCTCGGGCACTGCCGAAGGTGGGAAACGAAGCCCAGACCAAGCCAGGCTCTTGCACGTGTTGGATGTAACTGTGGAACGATGTTTGGGGGATGCGGTGAGTTGGATGGTCACTCTTGGTGTCCCCAGGCATAGGGGGCCGTCGACAAAAGACCAGCTGGGAGCTCCAAAGAGGAGCATGTCTGTTTTCTCAAGAGTAGGCATGTAGCTCTTGGGTGAGGACCAGCTCGACCAGGATGGCACAGAAAAGAATCGGGCATCCACGGTATTGAATTAGAGGTCCTTCTGGCACTGAGAAGCCATGATCCTGGGCCAAGGGCACTAGCTCGATGCTATGAAAGGCCAGTTTGAGTCACATTGTGCAATGGCCAGGACTTTTAACACCTTGATACGAACACTAGGGATAGACCAGATAAATCTAACGCTGAACTGGAAAATCAGCTTGAAAATGTGAGGCCATGTTGTTGTGAGCTAACACTTCTCCTGTATAGAGCATGGAAGAAATGGATCCCTTCTGAGTCTGTCATAGAACTAAAAAGGTACTTTTTACTGGGGCAAGACAAAAAGTCCTGGAGGAATCTGATTGTGGTGGGAACTGGAGGTGGCCCTTATCTAGCAAAGCCAAAGTGGCAGACCCCATCCTGACATCACACTGAGAATGGTGGCAGCCTGCCCCAGAGAGCCAAGAGTGGCTGTAGCCCACGGCTGACAGAACAACAGTGACCAAGCTACAGGGAACCACGGAGGTGGCCCCTCTGAACCATAAATACAAGACAAAGCCCAGCAGCAGGGCCAAGCGATTCTCCCAAGGTTACAGGACTAATTAGGGGCAGAGTCCAAACTGAGAATCTATATGGATAAATACATGGCATTAAATTTACACTTCACTAGAAGTCTGCTATAGTTAAAACAATGTGCTGGGTATTGCTACCGTATCATGTGTATATGAAAAATTTGCAAAAAATCCATTATTAAAAATCAACTGATACACAAAACTTCTTCAGGGTCTTTGAAATTTTAAGGTAGTGAGAAGAAAGATTTAGGATAATTTGTAAAAACAAAAAACAAAATAAACAAACAAACAAAAACTATAGCAAAAGTCTAAAGAAAGAAAAAGAAAGTGAGTACAATTAAAGTGGGGATGCATTTTCTCTTCAGGGGACCGGCAGGCAGGAAGTGACACCTGAAGAGCACTGGGGGGCTGGCAAGGTTCTGTCTCCTGAGCAGGGTAGTGATTACAATGATATTCGCTTTATATTAATTCATTAAATTATACATTTGTTTTAGAATTTTTAAATATTCTTGTTATATTTAACGATAAATGTTAAAAGAATAGTAGAGTTCAGAAAAACGATGTATCAATTTACACTTTCTGCAAACATGTAACTGAAAACGTCATTAAGTATATGAAATATTTCTTAGCCAGAAGCCCCTCCACCAACACTCAAACTATCTCCAAAACGTACAATATCACTGCATGGGTATTTGGTGAGCTGATGCCCTTCGCATGTACATATCTCTGAATTAAAATGTAGAAGGGGAAAATGGAGAAGGGGAAGGTACTGACCAATCAAGGGGAAGCTTCCGGGAAGAGGCTGGCCCTGAACTCCTCTATAGTCCTGTGACTAAGATCCATCATCCCTTCACACCGGGTCAGCCCAGCCCAACGCTGGGGCAGAGGCAGGCACAGCAGGGCTGGGTGAATCGTCTCTCAAGGCCCCTGCTTGCCTCGCACCTCTCAGCAGATGCCCTACGGCTGCCAGCTGGTCACCTGTGCACCACCAGCCCAATGCACCTGGAAGAGGGCTTGGGAACCCGAGCACAAAGCCTTGGTCCCTTCCCTCCCATTCTCCAAGAAGTCCAAGCAAAGAGGACAGCAGCACAGGGGCCCCACAGGATGGCACCAGGATGACCCAGCTTACACTCCCTACAAAGACAGAGGGAGGTGGGAATCTGCAGTGCAGACAGCCGCACAGCCCTGTGACTCAGCAGCTCCCGTGGTGGTGGTGGTGGTGGCAGTGGCGGGGAGGTGGGGGGAGGGGCGGAAGTTGGGGGGGAGGCTTCTCTCACCGTCAGTGGCCTGCAGACTGTATGTGAGCCCCAGAGCTAAGTAGCCTTTGGCCTTGAACTCTGACGTTTTCTCTCCTGCATCGACGACAGTTTTGGCAAACTTCTCAGCCTCTTCCAACTGAAAAACCAGACAAGTTAAAAACACAACAACCTGCAGAACTTCTAACATGAGTTCCCATAAGCATCTGCTGCCAAAAACAGATTTCTGATGAGTCACTGTGAAAATAACTCCCAGATTTTCCAGTTCCACTCTGGCGATTCTGTCTTCTTTATTTGAACCTCTGTAACAGTCCCCAGGATTCCCACCTTCCCTTTTCTCTTTAAAGTTTTCCTTATGTTTTTTTTTTTGCCTTCTTTTCCAAAGTCACTTTCATTCTTGGTGGGGTTCTTAACCTTTTCATCTTTATTTTTCACGGATTGGTTCAGTAATCAGATTGTGCTAGATATTCAGAAGTTGAATTATATATGTAATATATATTATATATATAATAAAGTTCTTGAAATGTTTTGTGTTTGGATCTTTTCTTGCTTTTTTCTTTCTTTTTTTTTTTTTTACAACATAACGAATCCATTTACGCTTGGATTTTTAACACAAATTGTTAAAAATGGCAAAACTCCATCTATTTATTTTACAACGCACAGCACATGGACCTCGCATCATCAGATTCCAATGAGAAAATGTGCACCTGTAAACTACACCCACAATGAGACATTTTGCACAATTCGTTAGAGGCAAAAATAATAAGATTTATTCCTTCAAAGAATGGCAAATGTTGATGTTTTTGAAGCTGGGTGACAGTACATGGGAGTTCGTTATGCTCTTTATTTCTGTGGTGTTTGGAAGTTTTAATAATAAAAATGTAAAAAAAATATGTATACAGAAAAGATTTGTTACTCTCATCTTTAAGGAAAAAAAAGTCAGGTTTATTGTAGGCGTTAGAGATATACGCGTTACAGTAATGAACACTGCCATAACTGGAGTGAGTGTAGCAGAGTCACAGAAACTGGCATTTTGAAAAATAAAGGGTTTGGTCCACTCCTTCGCCCACTTCCGGAGCATCGTTCCCTCGCTTGTGGCACCTAATTGTCAAAACCTGCGTGGACCACACAACCCCTTGCCAGCTGTGTGTTTCAGGTGACAGCCTCCTCTTTCAAAACGTCCTATTCTTCCGCATTTTACAAAGTAAAATCCAACACAAGTAGAACCCTTCCTTCATAAGGCTTACTTTTGTCCTGCTGGGTGAGAATAAATGGAAAGAAAAAAACAAAACAAAACACAAACAAACAAAAAACCCCAAACAACAACAACAACAACAACATCAAGATCAAGCAGTAAGGACCATAATGGTAAAAAACCTTAGCATGGCACTTCAGTCCTTTGAGTAAATTCCTCTTATCACTAATCTTGACGTGAAGTTAAAGAAATTAAAACTCCATCGTATGTGGGAATTATCTATACAACCATCTCAGCAACTACTCTGAGTTTCTCTATTTTCTCCTCCAGCGGCATATTTTCGAGGCACTAAAACTGTTACAAATGAGGCTTCTCCCAAATTCAACGTGAGGGAAGAACAATGAGGAGCGCGAGGTTCACCGGGAGCCGCTGGACAGCGACTCTGCTTCCCGCAAACCTCAGGCCCGGCTGAGAGCGAACCCTTTGGTGACATGTCTTTTCCACCCAGCGTCACCTTCATACAGCAAGACGAATACGAGTGTGAATTCCAATTCTATCTCATCCTTTCTACCTTTGCGGCAGATTCCCAGGAAAAAGGAAAACGTGGCGTCCCCGGGGACAGACGGACCCCCCTCGGTCCTTGGGGGGTGGGGATGAGGCCCGAGGCGGCCTCTGAAGAGCCTTGTGATTGCGTAGCTGGTGAGTCGCTACTGCTTTTCCTCAGCACCCCGAAATGAACAAGGCTGGCAGCCCGGGCCGGGGGCGCAGGCCCAGCCCTACTCACCCAGTGAAGGGAGCCCATGCACAGCTTCGCGGCCAGGAGCGGGATGGTGGCGTCGTCGGGCTTCAGGCGGATACACTCTT